TTATCCATATTGAATTTTTCCAAAACCTTTTGGATATAAGCAGGTTGGTATACTAAAATTCCCGAGGGAAGATGCTCAAGCTGTATGCCTAAGCAAAATTTGGTCTTTCCCAAATCTTTCATCTCAAATTCCGTCATTAAATGATTGCGTGCTTCTTTTATATCATGTGTACTCCCAATGATACTGAGATCATCAACGTACACTGAGATGATGCAAAATCCATTTGAGGATTTCTTTATAAATACACAAGGGCAATCATCATTATTTGAGTATCCTTTCTGAATAAGAAACTCACTCAGTCGGTTATACCACATTCTACCCGACTGTTTTAAGCCATAGAGTGACTTTCGTAATTTTACACAATATGCGTTGCGATTTGCTTTTGGATTCGGCATTTTAAGTCCTTCAGGAACTTTCATATATATGTCCGATTTTAGTGACCCATACAAGTATGCTGTCACTACGTCCATTAACTGCATAGATAAATTCATTTGTACTGCCAAAGATATTAAATATCGAAACGTTATTCTACTCATGACAGGAGAGTATGTATCATCATAATCGATGCCAGGTCTCTGCGTGAACCCTTGTGCTACAAGCCTCGCTTTGTATCTCACCACCTCGTTGTTTTCATTCCTTTTTCGAACAAAAACCCATTTTGCTCCCACAGGGAAGACATTCTGAGGAGTAGGTATTACTGAGGAAAATACCTCTCTTTTGTCGAGCGAGCGCAGTTCTGCCTCAATTGCTTCCTTCCATTTAGGCCAATCAGGAGCTTGAGGCAATCCCTGACGGTCTTTGGTTCTGGATCCAGTTGAAGGGTTTCAGCAATTTCAGAGGCAAAATTTATGTCGACAGTTGTAGTCTCTCTGTTGTATGATTCTCCTGTTTCTATATAGTTTATGGAAATTTCTTTTATACCTTCAGACTCTATGTGATTTCCCACAACAATAGAGTCATGGTGTTCCGATGTCCCAGCTATTATATTTGTATGTGCATTTATGCTGGGTTCTAGATGTTGAGCATCTGATTGGTGTCCTTCAACTTGAGGTTGAATTGCATTTACTGGTAGAGGATTTGATTTCCTCTGTTTCCGCGGAGGCTTCTGAGAACCTATATTCCGGCTAACTAGATTTCTCCCCCTCTTACTCTCATTTGGGGTTTGAGTGGTTTTACTTGGTACCTCCACTCATTCTGGTGTATTAACAGCAGGAATATGTGATTTAGTGACACCTTTATGGTCAGTAAATGCATATGGCAGATTATTTGCAATGTGTTGCAAATCTATAATCCTCTAAACTTTAGTTTCAGATTCTTTAGTACATGGATCTAAGGACTGGATGCCTATTACATTACAATCTATTTCCTGACATTCTTTGTGGTTTGATTCTCCCCCTAATGCCGGGAAATGGTCCTCATCAAAAATAGAATCAGCGTATCAAGCAGTAAACAGGTCCCCTGTAAGAGGTTTAGGATATTTTATAATTGACGGAGAATTATAACCCACATAGATCCCAAGTTTTCTGTGGGGGCCTATGGTTGTACGCTGGGGTGGTGATATCGGTACGTATACTGCGCAACCAAATTTTCGCAGATGGGAAATACTTGGCTGAGTGCCACGAACTAGTTGCAGCGGGGAGGTTGTGTGATATGCAGTTGGTCTGATTTGTATCAGATCTGCGGCGTGTAATACCGCATGTGCCCAACAAAATGTTGGCAAATTACAATTCTGTAATAATGGTCGAGCAATTAATTTTACTCTTTTATGAGAGATTCAGCCAATCCATTTTGAATATGAACATAAGGCACAAAATGTTCTAAATTAATGCCCATAGCCATGCAATAGTCATTAAATGCGCGTGAAGAAAATTCAGCAGCATTATCCATTTGAATTGTTTTTATCTTATTTTCGGGATGGTTTGCTCTTAATTTGATAATCTGAGCAATTAACTTGGCAAAGGCATGATTACATGTGGATAATAGACACACGTGTGACCATCTAGTAGATGCATCTATGAGTACCATGAAATACCTAAAGGGTCCTGATAGTGGTTGAATTGGACCACATATATCTCCTTGAATGCGTTCAAGGAAATTTAATGACTCATTTTTTACTTTAAGATAAGATGGTTTTATAATTAATTTCCCAGTTGCACATGCGGTGCACACAAATCTGATGATTTAGGGAATCTTTTAGTTGGAAGGCTGTGACCAATAGAATTGTCAATATTTTTTCTCATCATCCCTATGCCAGGATGACCTAGGCGATCATGCCAAGTCTTGAATTTACCAAGGTCTTGAAAAATTATTTTGTACGCAACATGTGGTACGGGTTTTATATAACTGTAATATAATCCAGATGAAAGTGAGGGGAATTTCTCAAGAATTTGTTTCTCAGACCCATTGCTCTTTGTTAAAAGCAAATATTCAGTATTATTTTCAGAAATAGTTTCCATATGGAAATTATTTGATCGAATGTCTTTGAAACTTAGAAGGGTGCGAGTAGATTCAGGATACAAGAGTGCATCCTCAATTACAATGGTAGTACCCATAGGCAGAACGAGTGTGGCTCGTCTTGAACCAATAATTGACGCATCGCGACCGGTAATGGTCATAATATTCCCTTGTCTCTTAGTTAGAGTTTGGAAATATTTTATTTCCCTTAATATTGTGTTAGTGGTACAACTGTCCACCAAACATAGTTCTTCTTCCATTGGATTATCTTCCCGTAAGATCTATATAGAGTAAGAGAATATTTTAGGATGAAATTTTATTCATTACTCACATATAAATACATATAAAGTACTCATATTACAGTTACACATATAAATATGACATTATGTCTGAATTACATAAGATGATTGGTCCGTAGGACTTTATTCTACTTAGAGTTATACAAATTATAACTTCCATTATTACAATAAAATAGCTGATAACATCAAATGAGTGATGTGGAGATTATATGAGATCTTCATATGCGTCTTGGGTGTATTCCACCATCATGTTGTCGACATCAAGAAGATCTTCATCCTTCTTCCTTGTTTCCTTAGGAGCGCTTTGAGAAGTGCTAGCTTCAAGGTTCTCTTCTTGTTGTAAAGCGTTGAAGTGAGCTTCTGCTTTCCCATGAACTTGTTTGCCTTTCCCAGTGGATTTGAGATATAAATCCACTAGATGCTTAGGAGTTCGGCATTTGCTAGTACGATGGTTAGTACATCCACACCTTTGACAAATCTCAGATTTGGTGTTTCGGTCATCTTTCTTAAAATGACCTTTACCTTTAGATTGACCAAATGTTTTCTTCTTGTTGTTCCTTTTCCACTTTCCATTGAATTTCTTGAAATTCTTTTTATTCCCCCCATACTTTTTAGTAGACTGAGTGTTAGCATGTGCTTCAGGGAGTGGCATGGAGCCCGTTGGGCGTGCCTGATGATTCTTCATGAGAAGTTCATCATGTTTCTCAACCTGAAGTAAAGTGTATATGAGCTCAGAATACTTTTTGTATTTTTGTTGACGGTACTGCTGTTGTAGTACTCTCATCGAGGGGTGGAAAGTGCACAAGGTCTTCTCAATGAGATCTTCTTCTGAAATTGCTAGGTTGCAAAATCTTAGTTTAGAATTAACCTTGTGAACTGCAGAGTTGTATGCTACCACGGATTTGAAATCTTGGAACCTTATGAGGGACCATTCTCTTTGGGCTTCTGGTAGCATAACTGCTCTTTGTTGGTCATATCTCTCCTTGAGAGAGTTCCATAAAGCAAGTGGATCCTCCTCCATTAAATATTCTGTTTTTAAATCAGGATGGAGGTGATGCCTCATAAAACTTAATGCTCCATATTTGACTGCTTGCGGTATTTCCGCAGCGCCTTCAATAGGTGTGATAATTGTGGAACCAAGTTTACGACATTCTAATGCTATCTTGGTATCCATAGCCCATGATAAATAATTACTACCATCTAGCTCAAGTTCATGAAATTCTCTATTCATGACGCCAGCCATTTTCCTACATGTTGTGATCAGGCATAAATTAGTTTTACTATGAGTAAAATTTAAGTAACAACAAATGCTTCAAAAGAACAAAGTTCTGAAGTATAGCTGATGCTTTATACTTATATGTGTAGACCTCATTTTATGTAAATGACACTTTGAAGATAGTCACCGTTGTGCTGTAGATCTCGCAGCAATGGAGAACATAATCTGGTTTTGACCAGTAGATGTTCATATATCCATTACCTTGTGCTATACTAAATTTTACAAAAACACTTTGAAGGTAGTCATCTGTTAAATGACTAGATGTAGACCTCACAGTAAGAGTGGATAGTCTGCAATTTGATGCAGTAGATCACACAGTTACCTTGTCTTTTGCAAGTATAATATTCGAGGTAATCACATCAATTTGCATATTTGGGAGAGCACTCGAAGATAGTCATTTTGCCAGAACAAAAGAGGCGAAACGTAGATCTTTCAGCAATGAGGATAATCTGCAAAGTGCAGTAGATGCCTCATCTACCCTGTGATCCCGAAATATGAATTTGTAAATAAAAATTGTTGTACTTATGAACTACATATTCTAAAAGGAAATGCTGAAGCAATCATGTAGAATATGTACACGTAGTCTGAGACTTTATTTAGATAATACATGGTCTAGATATCCAAACTTACAATACATTACAAATTGAATATAATAAACAAAGGTTCTTAGTACAATAAAATAGCACTCTCAAATAAACAGAACCGGCTGCTATGCAATATACAAATACTATGGCTATTCTCCGTTGAAAACACCACAACACCAGCAACCATTTATTGGAGTTATTGGCCTGTAGGCCTGATTAGGTGAGGAGCGGGGAGAGTTGGCCTGCCCCATGCACCGACAGAGAGAGGATAAGGAGAGCAGGATCGCTAGTTTCCCTACGTCTCCATCACTTCCAATTCTCCTTCTCTGTTCGTACCTGGACTCAGCACCGCTGCTCGTCAGCTCTCCCTGCCCCGTCTCGCCGTCTTCAATGGAAGCGAGGTGGGCCCCGCTTCGCAGCATGGCTTGCTCCGCTGCTGCTCGCCCTAGGGGCACCGGTGAGGCCAAGGGCATCCGGTGACCACGCGCCATGAAGGGTTGCGCGGTTCTGCGCCATGGCCGCGGCGAATTGGCGCAGGATCCGGCGGGCTTCCGGCGGAGGCGTCAGAGGAAGAGGCGGTGCCGGAGGAGGTGGTGTCGCCGATGATGAACGTGGTGGCGTCGACGACGAGCCCTGGTCCTCTATCTTCTCTTCTTCAACCTTGATCTTGATGTTCAAGTCGGGGATGGAAGGGTAGCCGCCGGTTCCCGCTGCCGCCGGCGTTGGGGATGGGAGATCTGGGACGGGGCCGTATCCAGGAGGGATGAAGTGCTCCGACAGTTCGTCTGATGGCGTCGGAGACGGCTTCCGCGGTGGTGCGCCCGTATGCTCTGGGCACGATTTGAACCCATGCCGTACGCAGTACGGGGGCAGAGGCGGTGGCGCGAGTTCGCAAGGGAACATCTCTTCTTTTTTGAGGAATGGCGCCGATGGACCTCCAAGGAGCCAATCCATCGGAGGGATGGTCAAGACAGATGGCGACGGAGTCGTTGGTACGATGTAGTCGTCGGTGACGGCCGGAGCCGGAGCCGAAGGCCCAACATGGTTTGCAGCGGTGGTCGGAGCCGAGGGTCCAGCCTGGTGCACCGTTGGTGCTTGCCGACGGAGCGGGCGGTTGCCTTGGCGTGCGTACCCACGGCGGCGGTTCTGGCGGTGGTTCCAGGCGAAAAAGCGGCAGCGAGGGCCACTCCTTGCGGCAAGTCCCTGACGGCGACGGCGACTTGCAGCACGGTGGCGATGGGTGCGTGGACAGCGACGGTTCTCTCTCTGGAGGAAGCGTGCAATGGCGAAAGCAAGCAACGACAGGTCCCTCCCTGCCATTCTTACATTTCCTGTGATGGCTCTTTGTCGCTCTTGGTAGAGCGAGTACTGATAACGTGTAAAGTGAAAAGGTGATTTTCTAGAAGTGAATGATTCTCATTGATTGGGCACTATATATATACAGGGAGCGGTTACAAATTTGTTAGAGTATTTCTAACCGCAAGCAGCGGTTGCTAATGCGTGAGTCATAACAGTAACTGCACTAAGCAGTTGCTAACATGAGAGAGGAAGTACAACTGCTTCTAGCAGTTAGAGAATACATAGTCGGTTCCTAAGTCGGTTCCTTAATTAGGACTTGATAATTAGTAAATAATCAAGTGCTCTAATTCTATTCCTAACAAAAACAAACCACGCTGCAGCGGTGACGAAGGCAGATGGGTCAACCCAGGCGGGTGCATTGAACCAAAATGGCAGTGAAGGCAGGCTCACGGCGGGTCTTAATGGAGACTAGCCACGGCGGCTCAACTGAGGCCTGGCCGGTCTGAAAACGGCTGCTCAGAGCGATGGCTCGCTGTGGAGAAGAGGAAAAAACTTCACTATTAACTTTGAAAGAACTTCATCATTAACCTTGGCATCCGTGTGGCCATTTGATTCCTTGGTTGATCTTTTGACTATTAGAATTGCTATCTGTCAATCCGGATTGGATCCTTCATCACGTGACCCTTTTTTATTCCTCCTTAGCTTCACGTGGGAGTGGATGCCAAGTCTCCTCTAGCACAGTCTTATCCTGACGCAGCGTATGGCAGCTCAGGGCGAGGTTGGCGTTGCAGAATTGTCCGAGTCCAGGTCGTGGCTGATTTGAACAAACCGTCCGAGCCGTGTTGAGGTTTGACCTTTACGTTTTGGCTGCGCGCGTGCGGATCCGAACGCCAGCATCACTTCCCGATGAATAGTAGTACTACTCGATTGATCTTGACGGGAGTATTTGGCATGTCTTTGATCTCCTCCTGGAGTAAATAGTAGCTTCGATTGATGGCCTCTAGACTTGCAGGGTGTCCAAAGCGGTCTTGGTGATGACTTAGTTTACGCAAAGGTAAATCAATCTGGTTTTAGGTTGACGACTCCTGTTGACTTAGCGACTTGCAGCAGCTAACATATCGCAACCTCGATTTTCTTGAACCTTAAATCTCACAAACTATGAATCCGAATCGATGAACTCGAAGTTGATGTAGATCCTCTCCGACCATCTCTTCCTCATCTGGAAAATTATGAACTCCTTGATCCCTAGGAGAAATCCCTCCAAGAACTCAACACCACCGTGCGCGAGCCCCACGGTGGGCGCCAACTGTCGTGGAATTATCATGGCAGATGTCCTAGTGTGAGGACTTAGTCATGAGGTCAACACATCTATGCGGTAGCTTGAAGGGGTTGGTCGGAATCGAGAGATGCACGGCGGATCAACACACAAGACAAGGATTTAGACAGCTTCGGGCCCCGGGAAACATCATGCGGTAATAGCCCTAGGGGCAGGGCATCCCAAGAGGGACAGGAAATAATCATTAAGGCTAGACACAACTAAAGGGGAGCCGGTTTACGGCGACTCCCTCGTGAATATAATGAGACCTAGCCACAAACAGCATGTAGGACTATTACCGGATGATGTTTCCCGGGGCCTGAAGCTGTCTAAATCCTTGTCTTGTGTGTTGATCCGCCGTGCGTCTCTCGATTCCGACCAACCCCTTCAAGCTACCGCATATATGTGTTGGCCTCACGACTAAGTCCTCACACTAGGACATCTGCCGTGACAATTCCACGACACTTTCTGATCGATCTATTCAAGAGTCTGTAGTAAAATAACACGAAGCTATTCTTTCCGTTCAATCTATCATAGAGTTTGTACTAGAATAACACCTTAAGACACAAATCAACCAAAACCCTAATGTCACCTAGATACTCCAATGTCACCTCAAGTATCCGTGGGTATGATTATACGATATGCAGCACACAATCTCAGATTCATCTATTCAACCAACACAAAGAACTTCAAAGAGTGCCCCAAAGTTTCTACCGGAGAGTCAAGACGAAAACATGTGCCAACCCCTATGCATAATTTCACGAGGTCACGGAACTCGCAAGTTGATCACCAAAACATACATCAAGTGGATCATGTGATATCCCATTGTCACCACAGATAAGCACATGCAAGACATACATCAAGTGTTCTCAAATCCTTAAAGACTCAATCCGATAAGATAACTTCAAAGGGAAAACCCAATCCATTACAAGAGAGTAGAGGGGGAGAAACATCATAAGATCCAACTATAATAGCAAAGCTCGCGATACATCAAGATCGTATCACCTCAAGAACACGAGAGAGAGAGAGAGAGAGAGAGAGAGAAAGAGAGAGAGATCAAACACATAGCTACTGGTACATACCCTCAGCCCCGAGGGTGGACTACTCCCTCCTCGTCATGGAGAGCGCCGGGATGATGAAGATGGCCACCATAGAGCGATTCCCCCCCCCCGGCAGGGTGCCGGAACGGGTCTAGATTGGTTTTCGGTGGCTACAGAGGCTTCTGGCGGCGGAACTCCCGATCTATTCTGCTCCCCGAAGTTTTTAGGGTATGTTGATATACATAGGCGAAAGAAGTCGGTCAGAGGGGCCACGAGGCGGCCACGAGGCAGGGGGCGCGCCCAGGGGGGTAGGGCGCGCCCCCCACCCTCGTGGTGGCCTCGGGACTCTTCTGGCCCACCTCCGGTACTCCGTGGGCTTCTTCTGGTCCAAAAATGAGTTCCGTGAAGTTTCAGGTCAATTGGACTCCATTTGATTTTCCTTTTCTGCGATACTCTAAAACAAGGAAAAAACAGAAACTGGCACTGGGCTCTGGGTTAATAGGTTAGTCCCAAAAATAATATAAAAGTGTATAATAAAGCCCGTAAACATCCAAAACAGATAATATAATAGCATGGAACAATCAAAAATTATAGATACGTTGAAGACGTATCAAGGTCTAGAGGGGGGGGGGTCATTAGACTACTTGACCAAATAAAAATCTAACTCTTTCCCAATTTTAAGTGTTGGTGGATTTTAGCAATTTAGCACAAGTCAAGCAATCAACCTACACATCCAATTCTAAGAGTTTAGCAGCGGAAAGTAAAATATTGCATATGAAGGTAAAGGGAAGGGTTTAGAGAAGGCAAACAGAATGTAGACACGGAGATTTTTTGCCGTGGTTCCGGTAGGTGGTTCTATCGTACGTCCACGTTGATGGAGACTTCAATCCATGAAGGGTAATGGTTGCGCGAGTTCACAGAGGGCTCCACCCATGAAGGATCCACGAAGAAGCAACCTTGTCTATGATGTCTACAACACAACCTTCTTCTTGTAGATGTTGTTGGGCCTCCAAGTGTAGAGGTTTGTAGGACAATAGCAAATTTCCCTCAAGTGGATGACCTAAGGCTTATCAGTCTGTGGGAGGCGTAGGATGAAGATGGTCTCTCTCAAGCAACCCTGCAACCAAATAACAAAGAGTCTCTTGTGTCCCCAACACACCCAATACAATGGTAAATTGTATAGGTGTACTAGTTCGGCGAAGAGTGGTGATACAAGTGGTATATGGATAGTAGATAATAGTTTTTGTAATCTGAAAATATAAAAACAGCAAGGTAACTAATGATAAAAGTGAGCACAAACGGTATTGCAATGCGTTGAAACAAGTCCTAGGGTTCATACTTTCACTAGTGCAAGTCCTCTCAACAATAATAACATACTTGGATCACATAACTATCCCTCAACATGCAACAAAGAGTCACTCCAAAGTCACTAATAGCGCAGAACAAACAAAGAGATTATGGTAGGTGTCGGTGTCAAAACCGGCGGACCTCGGGTAGGGGGTCCCGAACTGTGCGTCTAGGATCAATGGTAACAGGAGGCAGGGGACATGATATTTTACCCAGGTTCGGGCCCTCTTGATGGAGGTAAAACCCTACGTCCTGCTTGATTAATATTGATGATATGGGTAGTACAAGAGTAGATCTACCACGAGATCAGAGAGGCTAAACCCTAGAAGCTAGCCTATGGTATGATTGTTTGTATATATGATCTATCGACTAGCCTGGCCCTGGTTTATATAATGCACCAGAGGCCTAGGTTAACAAGAGTCCTAGCCGAATACGCCGGTGGGGAGAAGTCCTTGTCTTGATCGCCAAGTTTTGTGGAATCTTCCTTGTATACGGCAGCTGTCCGAACTGGCCCATGAGTATACGGCCACGGGGGTCCTCGGCCCAATCTATCAGATTGGGAGATGACGTGTTGAGTACCCCCTAGTCCAGGACACCGTCAGTAGCCCCCTGAACCGGTCTTCAAGTTAGGGACGCTCCTCGATTCTTCCGAACTGTTCTTCATCTTCAGTCGTCGGTCTTGAAAACTGGTTCAACAAATCTTCTTTATCTTCGATGTTGAGGATCGCCGAAATGCATTCGACGGGTTTACACATCGGGTATCTGAGGATCCCCTTTAAGTTTCCGGCCTTTATCAATGCCTTGTTATTTTTATGCCACATCTCAGGTTTGAAGTTGTTCCCGGGAGGCAGTGTCCTCTTGCGTCCGAGCTCCAACGCTGGACTGCATTAGAGGTCTCTTTTGCAGCCAAGCACCAACGCCGGACTGCTTTCCGAGCTCCAACGCCAGAATGTATCCGAGCTCCAACGCCGGACTGTGTCCAAGCTTCAACGCCGGACTATATCCAAGGTGTCATATCACCTTGGTTCAAAAAAGTTGAAGGAGTTTAGCCGAGCTTAATGCCGGAAATGGCCTCTATGGAGCCAGCCACTAGCGCCCGAGCTTTATGCCGGACTGCTTCCGAGGTGGTGCACCACCCCGACTATGGGCTGATTTTTTGTCAATATTTTTTATTGGTGCAATTTATTCTCTGCCGAGATATATAGCCAGTAGCCCTCAAGGTTTGTATCGGTCTAAAACCCGAGATGCACATGAAGGATGACGTAAGACCGCTGATCCCAGTAGCCGCTGAGACTCAGGTTGATTTGCAAAATCGGCGT